TCCAGTTCGTCACCATTCAGCTAGGCATCAGAGCCACCTCTTTAGCTTGTCACCATTAAGCTAGGCATCAGAGCCACCTCTCCAGCTCGTCACCACTCAACTAGACATCAGAGCCATCTCTCCAGCTCACCACCATTCAGCTAGGCATCAGAACCACCTCTCTAGCTCGTCACCATTCAGCTAGAAATCAGAGCCATCTCTCCAGCTCGTCACCATTCAATTAGGCGTCCATGCCACCTTCCAGGTAGGAACCATTCGGTTAGGCATCCATGCCACATTCAAGGTAGGGATTATTCAGTTAGGCATTTGAGTCACCTACTAGCTGGGAGCTGCCGAAATGCGCATCATCAATTGGCGTCGTCTGTGGGAAACGCTACAAAAGGCTATGTTCTCACCCGATTCTCTGAGCCTCAAGTAATAACATCTTTGACCAACAACAACAACGCTTGATCGAAAGAACCCCCTAGGGGGGTAGAAGCAAAATGATTGGCCCAAACGAGTTCTCGCAGTCTTTCCCGGACAGAATCTCCCTAACTATGAGGCCACTCCCTATGTTGAGCTCTACGTGCTCTCTACAAGAGTTGACARCAAACAGAATGTGAGGCCATCCCACAGGTCGAGCCCTCTGTGGTTCCCATGGGAGTTGATAGCCAACAAACTGTGAGGTCGCGCTGCAAATCGATCCCTCTGTGCTTTACGTGGGAGTTGATGGCCAGCAGGTTGTGGAGCCGCCCTCGTAGGGCAGTCCTGTCGAGGTGACGAGGTGTCTGTAGGCCGAGGTGCTGAGAGCAAAACTAGACTGTCAAAATTCCGACGACCTAGAGACCTGGAGACCTGCCTCTGAACTGGCGACCTGCTTCCGCCGGCCTGGCGACCTACTTCCACCGACCTAGTGATTTGCCTCTACCGTCAAGATGGCAACCTACCTCTGCTGACCTGGCAACACACGTAATCAGCCTGGACGAGCCTTGTCAGCCCTATTAGCGAGGTCCCCCTACAAGTCGAGCCCTCCGTGGCTCCCGCGGAGTCAACGGCCAATGAACTGTAGTCACCCATGCGGGTTGAGCCTTTCAAGGTTCCTATGCGAGCTGACAACTTGCATTTAGTAAAGCTGCCCTCGCTGGTTGAGCTCCTTGTGGCTTATCGTAGGAGTAGATGACCAGCACCTTAGAGGACTGACACAGTGCAGCCGTGACACCGACCCGCTATTTAAATTCCAACATCGACGCACATATCGCAAGGGGAAGCCAAATCGTTTTCAGCATCAAGGACCCCTAAGCCAACCTCAAAATATGTTGGTAACAGGCCAAAGGACCAACGACGAAGCACGAATCTACTCCCTTCGCTGAGCTGATCTAAGCTCGGGAGTGGGGGGCAATTGATGAGGGCAGATTTGGCCCTCCACTGACATCATGACACATGGAATATCAGAACAGCTGAACTACATCCCAGCATCACCTAGGCAATAACTTGCCTTAGCCAAAATGGGGTCCCAATTGGCGACCTATCCTGCTGCCGACCTGGCGACCTACTTCTGCTGCCGACTTGGCGACCTGGCGATCTGTCTCTATCGCCGACCTGGTGACCTACTTCTCAAGAAGCTTGCCAATTGTCTCCGAACCTTTCGGGATCACGCCGCGTAACTGTAGGCCTTATCCTCATCCCGCTCGAATCGGAGGGAAACAGTAAGCCTTATTAACTGACACGTTATCCTCCTTCCAAAGCGGAATGGACCCCTACGTCGTGGGCCGAGGATTCTGGGAGCGTTTCGCAATATCCACGATAGCCCAACTATATAAGGGCATCAGTCCCTGAGACCCAGAGAGATGCACAATTTTTAGTTCTCACAGCTCTCTCACATTTAGCTATCTTAAAATCTCTAGTTCGCTAACTTAAGCATCGGAGTGCCCACCCGGGTAAAGCAACCCGGGCACTCAGACACTATTTCCTTGCAGGTCGCATTAGAGCCACCTCTCCAGCTCGTCACCATTTAGCTAGGCATCAGAGCCACCTCTCCAGCTCGTCACCATTCAGCTAGACATCAGAGCCACTACTCCAGCTCATCACCACTCAGTTAGACATCAAAGCCATTTCTCCAGCTCGTCACCATTCAGCTAGGTACCAGAGCCACCTCTCCAGCTCGTCACCATTTAGCTAGGCATCAGAGCCACCTCTCTAGCTTGTCACCACTCAGCTAGACATCAGAGCCACCTCTCCATCTCGTCACCATTTAACTATGCATCAGAGCCACCTCTCCAGCTCRTCACCATTCAGCTAGGCATCAAAGCCACCTCTCCAGCTCGTCACCATTTATCTAGGCATCAGAGCCACCTCTCCATCTCATCACSACTTAGCTAGACATCAGAGCCACCTCTCCAGTTCGTCACCATTTAGCTAGGCATCGGAGCCACTTCCCCAGCTTGCCACTATTCAGCTAGGCATCACAACCACCTCTCTAGTTCGTCACCATTCAGCTAGGCATCAGAGCCATCTCTCCAGCTCGTCACCATTCAATTAGGCGTCCAAGCCACTTTCCAGGTAGGAACCATTCAGCTAGGCATCCATGCCACATTCAAAGTAGGGAATATTCAGCCTGGCATCCGAGTCACCTACTAGCCGGGAGCTGCCGAAATGCGCATCATCAAATGGACTGGAAATTGAGGATTTAAAATCGGCCAA